TCTCTCTCTCTCTCTCTCTCTCTCTCTCTCTCTCTCTCTCTATCTATCTCTCTATCTCTCTATCTATCTATCCATCTATCTATCCATCTATCCATCTATCTATCCATCCCTCCCTCCCTCCCTCCCTATGAACCCAAGGCAGCTCATAACAGCTAAGACTACGAAACAAACAAGAATTTTAAAATACTACATAAATATCTTATTGAAACACCCATTAAACATACATTAAGATTTAAAACAATTTTAAAAGAATTTAAAACATTTCCTTTTCTGTCCTAAAGGAAAACAAGCCACCCATCCAATTAATGCACCTTATTCTATCTACTCACCCTGCCATATTTCTAGGGTTGGCTGTTAGTAATCTACCGTGCTTCCTTAATAAGGAAGGAATCCTTAACCACAGGACACCCCTGGGCAAATGACAAATCGAACTGTGACAGCAACTGTGCTAGTCAAACTGAAGTGTTAGTTTGCCTTGTGCTACTTTAGCCTCCCATCTCATTATGTGGGCGTGCAGTAGGCATGAGGAGTGAAAAGGTGTTCTTTAAGAATTTACGGAGAAGGCATAATTGACACATCATGTCAATGAAAGGTCTAAACAAATGAGATGCCCTGGCTAAAGAACATGTCCAGCAATCAAGTTGTCTTCTCTTATAAAATCTTCTTTGAGGCGTCTCTGCATAATACCCTCTCACAGAGTGGAGTTCTCTAATGTTGGAATTGGTTTGGAGAAAAGTCTGATTATCTTTCAGATTCACTTAATGTTTCTTTTGATTCCCCTTATCGTCTTCTCCCCCCCCCCAGCCATCTACATATATGCCATGCTTCCTAAGATCACAATATACACACCTAGTTTCATAAAGAATATAGCATCTGCAGCACAAGGATCTTACTCTCTACTAGTATACAGCCAGTTCAACGGAGGTTCTGTCAGGATTACTGGCTGGATAGCTCACCGAGGTGGGTATCTACCTGCAGATACAGAGATGAGGAGTTCAATTCCCCACTGTGACTTGTAGGAGAAGAGTTAGCCAATACTGTATAAAAGCAAAGTGAGCTGCTAATATACCACCCCATGGTGCTGAAAGCACTCCCTGGGCAGTTTATAATTTTCGAATTATATAGGATGAACATTCCCCCACCCTCAAATGAGCTAAGTACTCATTTTACCAGCCTCAGAAGCATGGAGGTCTGAGTCAACATCAACCCAGCTGTCAGATCTGTTGGATGTTGAACGCTGAGCATGAGCAGAGTTTGGGCTGCAATATTATGGTTTAACCACTGCACCATGAGGCTCACTAAACAACACAATTTACTGTATAGCCTTGGGCAAGTTTCCACGTCTAGTATTCTGAACCCAGAAGACCTTGGAAAGGGTCACCAGAATCAACGATGGCATGTAACTATAATTGTTCTGTTAGGATTACATCAATACTTTGCAGTCCTCAAATCATCTTGAGGTCTCCAAAGAACTCTTGCTGCTTATGATATCATGACAAAGATGGAAATGACACAGGGAAATAAATAAGACAATACAATGACCCTTCAACCTTCAACAGTACTTTCTAGTTGTGACAAAGTAGGAATGTGTAACCACCTGTTAGCTACCCTGAGTTTTGCCATCTTGGAAACATGCTGGTTAGAATTAACTGTAATAATTGTATTATATATGTTTATTTTAATGTGTTTTAACCTATGTAAGCCGCCCCGAGTAGACGCAGTCTAGAGGGGCAGGGTGAAAATAATAAATAAATAAATGAATAAATAAATACCCATGAAGCACGCAGGTGAACTCATGCATGTTCTGAGTATGCCCATCTGTACGGGAACTTTTGAGCCTTGGCACTAACACTAACCCACACTCACACAGACTAATTCAACAGGGAAATTTTACTGAAGAATTAAAATATGCACAATGGCTGCACTTAGAAATAGAAAAGTGTACAGTACAATGGCATATAGCAATAAGGAAACAAAGCAAATGGCTAGTTGCTAACATAGATTTGCTCCAGAAATGTGATGCAGAAATATTTACTCAAAAGAAGCAAAATTGCCAAACTGAGGCTGTTAGTGAAAGCGCTGAGTCAGCTACTGAGGACTGGGTGTAAATACCATGGGGTACCATGGATTAGGCAAACTGGGATTCAGAGGTTATGACATGCAGGGAAGGAAGACAGATATAAGCTGTCTTCCTTCCCCAAAGAATGGCTACCGTGTAGGAAAAACAGTCCCCAAATCAGAATACAGACAATGGAGTAAATTAAAATATTTATCTTAGTTTTGTTAGATTATCAGAAGACGGGGAAAAGCACTGTAACACTTGTTGGGGGTAGGACCAAGAAGTCTTGGGCAGAAGAGACTAATCTAATAAAAGGAGTAGAGAACAAGATTGTTCTCATTGCAAAGGAGTGTGCTACAGATCCCCAGGCCAGACTGAAGATTTGGATGGTGCCCTCCTAGATCAGATTTCCACTGTCTGTTGGAAGTCCACCTCTGCCACAAATGCAAATCCCAACGGATTCCTCGCTTGCCTGATTCATCTTCCAGAAGGTAATAGAGCCACAAAAGAATCAGTTGTTATGGAGCTGGTCCCCAACAATACAGAATAACTAACTGGTCCATGAGGTCTAAGCAGTGGAGCCCATGGATGGGACCACAAGCCTTTCAGGAGTGGATAGACTGGGTAAAGGGAAAGGAGAGGGCAGCGTGATTCACACACTGAAACTTTAAGAAAGCTGATTCAGATAATTTTCAGAGCCCAGTCTCTGCTATCTGCACCCACAGAATGGAAATTAGGCAGAACTACACAAGATGAGTGATAACAGTAAGGTTTACATGTTCATTCGGAAGGTAGCTGTCAAGAGCAGACTCAACTATTCTTATAAAAAACAAAAACAAACACACACACCTCAAAAAACATACATCTACAGAAAGGACTCTGCAGATGATCAACTGGATTCTGCCCTGAGAGTTAAAAATACAGAAGGCTGGAAAAACTGAAAATGCTTTGCTTGACATTGAGAACAAATCTACACGGCACAGTTGTAGCAATCTGAACCACTTCAATCAATGACTTCCCTCCTACAAAACGATAGATTTTATAGCTTGGTAAAAAGATTTGGAATTCTCTGCTGGAGCTCTCTACCACATTCCCCAAAATTGTGGCAGAGAATCCTGAGGATTTCACCACACTAGAAATACCTGGGTTCTGGATAGAAGGATGAAAGTTAAAGTGATATCCAACTGCTACAACTATGTCGTGCGGACCGACTCTGTAAATACACTACAGCAGGCGACAGATGAGCTTTCTTTGAAAGAGCCTTCCACACATTTCAGAAGAACACGTAAACCATAAAGCTAACTCTGTGAAGTGAACTGAGATACAGTAGTGCAGTGGCTAGCA